ATCCAGACCTGTGATGATAGCAATGGCAAGGCATTGGAACGCTCCCGCAAGCATCTGTTAAATGCGCTCATCGACATCGACAGCAAGTTGCCCGGCAAAAATGTAGCCAGGCAGCAGCAGCAGCTGGCAACGACTACGACGCGTGTGCCCGGCGTAACCACATTCCGACGCACTGGCAATGCGGATTACTATACGAGCACCGCGGCACCCGGCTATACGACCAGCACAGAGCTGCCGCTCTCGACCAGCACCAGCTCGGCGCCGGGCAGCTATGAGGAGACCACAAAATTCGAGATACGTGTCGAGGATGTGGACGATGCTGACTTGGCGGCAACAACGCCAGCGACGGCGCCAGCGCCAGCGCACACGGAAATCCATTCGGATCGTCGTGCTTTGGAGCTGCTCAAGTCATTATATTCGCTGGCATCGAAGTTTAGCAGCAGGCGATAGGATTGCCAATGCCAACGGTTGCCGATTCCTAAGTGTGGCAGTGTGGCCAGCCAGCGCTGCGAAAGTGTGCGAGTAAATGCTTAACTTTTAGTCAACTCTCTATGCCCCCCGGCGCCCACGAACCGTCCAACAACCCTCCTCCTCTCACTTGGCTTGCAAACTGAGTATTTTAGCTTAAATTTGATATTAAACATATTTTGTATACCCTGTTCTATTGACAGTTCTTCTTGTTCGCAACTAGTTTGTAAATATGTAAAAGTTTGAAAACGAAATACTCGTAAAAAAATACTCGAATATCATAATACTTTAATTTTACATAACATCGAGTTGTATTTAATTAGTTTCTTTTAGTTTTAATTACAAATTACGAGTATTTTTCAATTTTCCACATTTTTCCCAATTAATTCCGAACAATCCATATGCCCATATATACATATGTATGTTGTCTTTATGTCTTGCTCTTTTTTGTAAATATTTATTTAACGTTAATAAAGTACATATAAAAATAAATAAAAACAAAAAAAAAACAATTATTAACATGATTGGAGTTATTCGAGTAATTTAATTTTATAGACAAACGAAAGGAAAACTTAATAAAAAAATATTATTAAGGCCTTTAAGAAACGAGTGTGTAGAATGTGAAATTTTATAAAACTTTATATCTGGCTGATTGTTCCTATAGAGGGATATAGTAGCAGGATGCTGAGGCTGGCTATTGAATTTGCCTTTAATTAATCAAACAAAACAGATCGCGTAGTAATTGTTTGTATAAACTAATTGATATAATTGTCAAAATGTACAATTATTGAAAAAATGTTTTTCTTTTTGTTAATATTATAATTATAATAATTAGAAGTCCTGGACATAGTCACCACTGTAGGGAACACATTTAGTTGATGCAGAAAAGATAGAAGTTAGTTTTTCAAAGCCAACACATGATTTATAAGAAGATTCGAATAACTCAGACATATGCTTTTCACTTGTAGGACACAGAATTAAACTCAATAGTTTATGTTTTATTGCATTTTAATATTATGCGTTTCTTCAGTCATTTTCTTTTCATATTATACATTTTGGTGTACCAGATGAAGACGCTATGAAGATACTAGTAGAATTTATTTAATTTTGGGTTTAATGTACCCCAATAATCATGGCTGTTACCCGCCAACATAATCTAGATAATTATATACAGGCAAAAATAATTCATGGTTCAGTTTAAAAAGATTTTAGCCACAAAATGCTTACGCATATTGTAGCCGCATAAAAAGATAATTCAACAAGCCATAGAATAAACAACCATCAACAATAAATCAATAAAAATTGGTTACACATTAAATAACTCAACTTGGATAATCGAAAAACTCTGAACACAAATGCGATTGTCTTGGCCTGCCAGATCCAACTAAAGCTGCTGGCCAAGCGGGAAAGGTCAAATAGAACAAAAAGACATAAAGCGCTCATGTAATCAGGCAAAAATTTAAATATTTTTGTCATTTTCTATTTTAAGCGAAAATAAAAAATAGAAAAAAAAAAATACAAATTGCCAATGGCTCAAGGGCGCAACGGAATCCGATTTCAATTGGATTGCACTTGAAATGCAATACATATATAATTAAATTACGTATACGTAACGTAGCGAATTGTTACGTATACGTACGTACGGGTATAGAAGCATCTGTGATAGCTGGGCAACAATGGTTAATTCAGTGTCATAAATCTGCTAAAGCGCAAGCACGAAACGAACTGACGAACTGTCAAACCGACAAACTGTCGATCCACATAAACATAAATATCGCAAAGATGCCGCAACCGGGCTGCAGCCAGCTTAGAACATTTTCATCTATAAATGTCTCTCGCCGTTTGCATGTGGCTTGCAGTTGGTTCTGACGAGTGGTGCTGCTCACAGGCAAAAGGCCCTAAGAAGGACTCGAAATACGAAAAGAACTCGAAATTGTTGACTTATTTTGCCATGCTGGTACAACGTTACGCCGCCCTCTTGGCAGGTGAGTAAAGCCAAACACAGCTGCGGCTCAGGGTCGGCGCGTAACTCAAGAGTGACCGACCCGCCTCATCATTATTAGCACTTCCTTTGGATCTGCTGTTGCCAGTTGTTGTTGTTGTTGTTGTTGTTGTGGGCGTCTGTCTGTCTAAGTTTTTGCTGCCTTGCATATTTACGAGGCATGCGTCTTGTTTTTGGCCACAAGCGAACAGCAATCGCAATTCTTGGCAGCCAATTGATGTGGCAGTGCGTTGTTGTGCCACAGTGGCACGTGAAACAAACTAAGCTGCATTTCCATTTAAAATGAACCTGTGCATATAATTTATTCTACTTTCAATTCAATTTATTGAAGTATTTATATATGCTATTGAATACAGTTTAATTCAAGGTAATTCTATGTCAAATGAATTTGACCAATCAACAAATTCAACACAGTTAAACCGAGCTATTTACTCAATTTTTAATTAATTTATTTTGAAAAGGGACCTGGCACTTTCTTTAGCATTTCAAATTTATCTCATAGTTGGTTTTCTTATCCAACCAAAATGCCATTCATTTCAATTTGTTTATTCAATTCATTAATCAATTGAATACAATTTCTGTTCAACTTCAAATAAATACTTAAATATTAAATTTGTCACATTTCAGTTTGATTTTAAATAAAGCACATAGTTAATTTTCTTAGTCAACCAAAATTGCATTATTTTAAATACGTTTATTCAATTTATAAACCAACTAAATTGAACACGATTTCTCCTCAATTAAATTAAACGCATTTCATATTATTTTTAATTGAAAGTCGAATAAAATACACGCATTGAATTTGAATCTCGCGGATTGCAACTAATTTTTGCGCTAATTCAACTCGCACCACTGTGCAAGACACCTGAGTAGGAAACTGATAAATAAAGATCGCAATGTAGAACCGTCCGCGTCTGCTATCAGTGGCAAGCATCGCATCTGGCATCGTACTTGGCCCTAAATTGAACATGGGCCGAACGCTGTCGAAGCTGCGGCTCAGTTCATTTCGATTTGTTGCGTCGACTGGTTCGAAACTCGGAGCGAATAGCCAAAATCTAAGCCAGATTTAACGCAATTAGAAAGCTTTAATGTTCTTGAATTCAATTGTTCCAGTTTTCCTGCTGCTCTGGTGCGGAAGTGGCGCCCAATTGCAGGTGCAGGTGAGTTGGGAATACTATCGTAAATGAAGCCTTATCAAAATCCTTACGCTGTCAGGCACAAAGCGGCTATAACTATGTGCGTCCGGAGCTGGCCACCACGGCAGGCGGCGGAGCTATAGCGGGTCGTTTGCAACCTGGTGCCTATCCCACGGGCACAGCTCTGCCCTTGACGCCAGCGCCGGCCACAGCCTATGGCGCCGGATTGTTTCCTTCGCCAGCTGTGGGCTATACGCCCAGTGGACAGGCAACGACTGCTTTTGGAGCACCTGCCGCAGCTGCTGTGGGCAGCGTACCCAATCTGCCAAGACGCCCAACTGGCTCCGGTTTACAGAGCGCATCTTCTGCAGCCCGCGGCGGTCCTTACGGCCCACAGCCGCAGTATGGCAACACAGCGGTGGGATCGTCGGGTGCACGTGCGCCCCTTGCGGAGGATTACAATGACGGCGCCGATGGTGACTACTCGGCCATACCCGGTGAGCCCGGCGTGGATTATCCCGTTTACGCCCAAGTGCCACGCACCAATTTCGACTGCTCACAACAACCACTTCCGGGCTACTATGCGGACATTGAAGCCCAGTGCCAGGTCTTTCACATATGTGCACTCAATCGCACCTACTCCTTCCTGTGTCCCAATGGCACAGTGTTTAGCCAGGAGACGCTGGTCTGTGTGTGGTGGAATCAATATGACTGCGTCTCGGCGCCCAGTCTGTACGCCAACAATGCCTACATCTATGACTATAGTGGTACCAGCTCCAGCTCCAGCTCCAGTTCGAGCAATCTTAATCTGAATGCCAATGTCTATCGAGGTGGCTCGCAGCCTGTGAACACGGCCTACGGAGCAGTTGCTCCATCTACCTCTGCAGGCGGCGTGCTGCGCGCTACTGGTGCCCCACAGATTGCAGGCTACAATCCACAACGTGGCGCCTACGCCTCACCCTCACCCACGCCCACACAAGCGCAATCTCTGTATGGAGCTGGCGCCATTATACGCCCGGCTGGTGTCTCGGGCACTGTGCCTGCTCCAGGTGCCAATCGCTTGGCGCCAGCCACAGCTGCTGCTGGTCTGGCGGCCACCGCGGCGGGCTTACTGCCCGACAATGCTGTAGGCAGCTTTGCTCAACCCGTCGTTGCCGTTGGCAATCGAGAGTATCTGCCGCCGGCCAGCGTTGGCCAACGCCAACAACGCACTCAAGCATAGGCGTAGACAAATCCATGCATCTGTACCCGGTTAAATGGCAATAGACTCGATTGACCCTAGGCTTAGCATATTTAGCATTTACATCCACACACTTAGGAGCTCCTTACACAACTATTGTAGTTAAAAAACTAAATTCATATGTATTCAGTTCTTATACTATATATAAATTGCATTTGTTTGAAAGAATTTTCTTTAATATTTACAAGGGGAAACTTGAAACGTTAATTGAGTTCTTTAAATTTTAAGCTTAAGATGAACAGAATTAAGTAAACTACTGAAATGTTCAGTTTTAATGTTTCTGTAACAATTTCAAAGTTCTAAAACTTAAGAAATAGTTCGTCTTGTTGCTGACAGTTGGGCTCAAGGTTCTGGGCTCCTGAATTATAAATTCAGTGTTTGCTAAGTTCACTGAGAAAATCTAATTGCAGCGCATTTTTTTTGGCTATGGTTCGTTTTGCCCTTGCGTCTTTTAACAACTTTACATAGTGCTGTTTAAAATCTGAACGTAAATACATATGTCTGCCCCTTTTCAGCTTGGGTTCGCCCTGCTTGGGCAGGGGTATAGTGGGATTAAAAGCCATTTGCGTGCTGTCGTACTGTACAAAGAGTTCATGGGCATTGCTGGAGATGATAAATGGATACGTTAGCAAACATTTAAGCTATGTCTATATTAGATTATATTACTCACAGTTTGCCTATATCTGTGGGCAGCGCACCTTCACCGGATGCAGGCACGCCGTTGGCTATATGCGCAGCCATGCGACGCACCGTGGGATGATAATGCCGCGCCAGCAGCGAGAGCTCATAAAGCGAAGTGCTCGCCGCATTGCAGTACTCGGGATCATCCAGTTCAGGATCATAGCGGCCGGAGCCAATAGTGGAGTCCGTATCGAGTAGCGCATCCAGCACCGAGGTCAGCTGGAATGTCTGCTTAATGGTGCCCAGCGTGGCCAGTGTGCCATTGTGCAGCAGATGAAGACTTCCTGTAAGCAGACGCTTAACAAAGGCCATCAGCCGCTGTTGGCTCATGTTGCGCCGTCTCTTAACCAGCACCTCATCCAGTGTGCGTAGAATAATGGCAAAATCATTATGATTCTTGCCCGCCTGAACGACCAACATATTGCGATAGAAATGCTGATAAAAGCGTATGGGATCTATGTTCAAGACTTCACCCTGGCCGGAGAGTATAACAAAAATGGTTTGGATGCAATGCAGCTGCTCGCGATAACCCAAGTCCTGTTCCTCAAGTATGCGATTTAGCACATCTATGAGATCGGAAAAGAACTCCAGATTGATAACATGAGCAAATCTGTAAGTCAGCATATAAGTTAGATTCTCTAATAGGGATGTCAATTGCAGTACTCACTCCGCCAGACCCTCCAGTATCGCGCTTAGCACCCGCGACGTGGGATCATTCTTGAGCACACGAAAATATATAGTGAAGACCATTTTGATAATTTCGGTCAGTTTGTGGTGCTTGGTCTGCTTATTTTCCTCGGCGCGCGTCTCCTCTAGTTCTCTATTGACCTCGGTGAGTTTCTTGCGACGCTTGCGCTCCTTCTTGGACAAGCTAAGCAGGCGCTGGCGATGCGACTCCAATTTCTTTTGCTTCAGTTCATTTTCCTTTTCGGCATCCAGATTCACATGCTTGATCTTAAGGCCCATCATGCACGTGATGCACTCGACATGCACGTTGTTCTGCTTGGACTTGATCAGGTGATTGATGCGACGCACAATAAACAACGTCATGTCCAGCCGCTTATCGCTGCCGAACAAAGTGCGAAAGCATTGATTGACTGCCACACGCATCGTTCCATAGTTGCAGTTAAGCATATAGACCAGCAGCTGGGCAATGTTTTGGACGTAGTTGAAGTAGGGATGTGCTATTAGCAGATCGCACATGCATTGCACTGCCACAGTGGCCATTTTGATGGTTTGTGGTGTCTTTTGGCCACCACGTTTGTTCACCTGGCCAGTCAGCTGTTCCAGCTTCTGCAAAAACTTCTTGAACTGCTGCAGCAGCGCATTTTCAAAGGTAACACGATCTAGTGTGGCTTTGCGTACGGTTTGCATCTTGGTATCCACCTGACCAACACGATACTCGGGCAGAATATCCTTAAATATTTCCGTGATCGAAATGATTGCCAGTTTGCGCACAGCGAGAAGATTGGGAATGCCAGTTTCTGCATTTATCTCATCCATGAGCTCATAGAGCGCATTAATGTTCCGCATTTTATCCTCTGGCCTCTCCAGGATACCAGAACAAATGATACCTATGCGATATTTTTGACGCTCTATTTCCTGCTGTCGGGCAATTAGCAAATCTGTGGTAGATACCAGTTTCTGTTTGGGCACGGGCGCCTCATCATTGACCACATCATCGTCGCTGTCTTCAAATACAGCGTCGCTGTCTTCCTCTTCGTCCTCCTCAGCCTCTACCTCTTCCTCCTCCACCTCTGGCTTGCGTTTTGGTTTCGGTACGTAGTCAACTTCTGTGGTTCGCGTTATGATCTCACCATCGCGCGATTTAATGGGCAACAAGTTGACTTTTATCTTTTGGGCCGCCTGCTCTTTTTTGCTGGCCGTTGCGTAGGCCATTTCCAGACCCACCGACTGCTGCTGTTCCTCCACTGGCTCTGCCTTTGCTTTGCGCTTGCGTTTGTTTGCATGCAGCAGTGCCAGATCATCGCCGTCCAACATGTCCGCAACGTTGTCCAGCAGCTGCTCCCCGCCAAGCTCATCTCCATCCTCATCAGCATCGAGTTCTCGGAGCAGACCAAGCGACTGCTGCTTATTGTGTTTCTTGCGCTGCGCTAGATTGTCACGCTTGTGCGCCTTTTGAGAGAAGATGTTTTGTCCATGTTCACGTTTCGAGCTTAACTGCTCGCGTTTCTGTTTTATTTTTTGTTGTTGCTGTTTGCTAAGCGGTGCCTTCTTTGATTTCAAGTGAGCGGCACGCTTCACAGAACTGATTTTCACCTTTTTCTGCAAGTGTCAAGTATATATAAAATTACTTAGTATAAAGAAGTGCTTTATTTAACACTTACCGTGCCCATTTTATTTAAATCTTAATAGATGAAAGCTGTAATTAACAAAATTTAAAGCGAGCACATGGCATTTGCAGTTGCCAATAGCGATGGGAATTTGTCGTTGCATATAATCGATAGTACTAACTAATTGGTCTATCGAAGTTTGACATGTATCGACTGCCGCCACTTTATTACAGTTCAGTGTTAATCAGCTGTGCAGTGATGTTTGCATTTTACTATACATACATCAGAATGTCGGACGAAGAAGAGGACTACATGTCCGACAAGTTCTTAGCTGGGTAAGTAAATCATTAGACTGCTAGCTTTTTGGCTTTATTAATATATATACTCTTGCAGTCTACAGGAAGTACGCCCCAGTTTAGTAAATAATCGCGCCAAAAAGCGTCAAATCCAAGTGCAAACAAAACAGGAAGAAAACAGCAAGCGACAACGCGAAGCAGCCAATGCCACCACAGTAAATAATACGAGGCTGCAACAGTCTTTAAATAAGCCGCTAGCAGCGGATAACAAAGGCTTTCAGCTGTTGGCCAAAATGGGCTACAAGGCAGGTAGTGGCCTGGGTAAACAGGCAGATGCACGCATCGAGCCCATTGCCATTACTATTAAAAACGATCGCGGTGGGCTAGGACGCGAGGCAGCGATTGCCGAGCTGACAGCCAAGCGACAGGAGCTGCGGCGAGAGCATTTGCTGCGCAAAGCAGGCATTGGATCCGGCGAGGAAATCAGCACAGAGGAATATCGCCGGCGAGCTACACAAAAAGCCGAAGAACGCAAGCTTCACTACGATATAAAGCGTTGTCAGCAAACGTGCGAGTCGCTGGATCTAGCAGAAGGCGTCACAGAACCAGATCTAGACTTTTTCTGGCCACCCAAACCCATAGAGCCAAGTGAGGAGACAGAAGCTGAGGCAGTAGTTGAAGCAGCAGAGCCTGAAGAGAAGGAGGAACAGTACAGTGCAGGCGAGCAGCTGGAGCTACTGACCAGCTATCTGCGCACCGCTTACAAATTTTGTTATTGGTGTGGCACGCATTACGAAAGCGCCGAGGATTTGGACAGCAACTGTCCCGGTTTGACACGCGATGAGCATTAGCATTATTAGTATTAGATCTAAGTTAATCATTTAAGCGTTAGTTTCACAAAATACGTGCACATTTATATATTACAACAAATGGTAGTCAAAAAACAGTTATGTATAGCGGTGTACTATGATTGAGTCGGAATTGAGGCGTACAATTAGAATGCGGCTATACGCGTCCCTCTAATTTCTGTATAAGATCGTGCGTCTGCTCGATGACGCTGTAGATAAATGGTCGCTCCATAGGATCGATGCGCAGCATGTACTTAATCAGTTCATGCATGTCCTGTGGAATAAAAAGTTCTAAAGTAAAGTGTATGCTTGTAATGATTGACTTACCTCTGTATAAATTGAATCCTCAGGAATGTTTACATTGCCGCTGAGCACGGCCAAGGCAACGCTATCGCCACGCTCATAGATGGGATCGAATGGGCTGTTAAAGTAGCACATGGCATACAGCACGCAGCCGAGACTCTGGAGGAAAGAAACAGTAACCAAGTGCTAACTTATTTATAATCAGTAACTCACCCAAATATCCGTGCGTTCGTCGATGGTGCAATACGTTTTCACGGTAAATAGCTCGGGCGCTCGATAGACAATTGAGCTGCGCTCCTCAGCCTCGTCTTGGAGCCGTTGTGCATCTGATTGACCGCAAATTTGAAGGCGCGCCTCTGTCATGGAGCCGAGGTCCACAATGATGGGCTCAAAACAGTCTGATAAGCATATGTTGGCAGTTTTCAAATCACGGTGCGCCAGCGGCACTGGCTTTGCCTCATGTATGGCCCGGAGACCTTCGCAAACGCCCAAAAAGATTTGCAATATCTGTGCCTCGGGCATATGATCCTGTTTCCGTGCGCGCAGCTGCAAGTGATCCGACAGCGAGCCATGCTTGTAGTAGGGTAACACAATGAACAAAGTGCTCGTCGTGTTTATCACAATGTCCGCCTGGCCTTTCAGCTCGTAGTCAACGACGCGTATGACATGCTCCGAATCGATTTTACGACAACTCTCGATTTCACGCAGGGCGATATTCTGATCCTCGATGCTGTGGCAAGTTATACGCTTTATCGCATAGTTGCGCCGCGTTGCCGCATTCACCGCAAGGTCAATCAAACTGAAGCCCCTGCAGCAGATAGTGTAAAGATTGAGATTAGATAGCAGTAGCTATGTAACGGGAATAATTGTACAATTTTGGAGGGGGCAACGAAATGGACTAGAGATCTAGCGCAACTGTGACTGCTGAGTATGACGTCTTGATGTAATCAAGAACTTTTTACTAAGTTTTAATGAGTTTAGTACAGACTTGAAGCTGTTACAGGGTGTCTACCAGTCAAAAACTTTTCAAAACAGTCTTGTAACGGGGCTTTTTATTTGTGGTTTTATTTTACCCTTGTGCCAGGCGTTCGCGTACTGTGTAGCGGGAGCCATTGATGTTAAGCTTTTCTTTGCTGCAAAAGCAGCCACGTTTTACAATCAGCGTCCATCCAATGCTGTGCATTTTACTTTCTCTTATTAATTATTTACAAGACGCACAAACTTCGAGCTTAAGAAACTACCTAAACAACAACAACTAATTAATGTCGCGCTGCACAGCTGTTGGCAAAGACAGGGCTGTTAACTGCAACACATGCCGCATGCTGATGTGGTGTTGCCACCTGGTGCAATATAATCAACTAAGTTGAACTGTATATTTTTTAACGCAATTTCAAACGCTTTTCTCGTTTAATAAATGATGATAACCACGGAAGACGCTTGGCAGGATCTCATTGGCATCAGCGCCGATCCGCCTGACAGGCGCGATAAATGCGAGCGATGCAAGTAAGTAAAAAAAACCAAAACAAACCCCCTTTAATGCAAAGTCTTTCACAGACGACCCGTAGTTGTCTGCTGGTGCTCCGCATTACCTCAGCCGCCCCTTGCGGTGGCCTCGCAAATTGTGATACTACAACATCCCGCGGAGGAGAAGCGTTCGCTGCGCACAGCTCTGATGCTGCAGCTGGGTCTGAAACCTGGAAAATGTGTGGTCTACAAGGGCAAGCGATTTCCCAATGCCCGCCACCCAGCTGAGCTGCAGCGTGTGCTTGATTCGCCACAGACGCTACTCCTGTATCCTAGTAAAGATTCAGTACCATTGGAGCAGATCGATCGAAGCGCGGGACCGTATACGCTCGTGCTCATTGACGGCACCTGGCCGCAAGCGAAGGCTATCTATGCCAGCAGTCCGGCACTGCATCGCCTGCGCCAGGTCAAACTAATTGCGGTGGGCATTAGCGATTATATTATACGTACACAACCCACCGAGGGATGCCTAAGCACACTGGAAACGGCAGCGCAGTGTCTGGCTGTGCTGGAATCGCAGCCTGAGCTGCGCCAGGTGCTGGTGCGACCATTGCATGCACTATGCAAATACCAGCTCGATAATGGCGCCGTGGAGCACCAGTCAAAGGAGTTCCTGATGAAAACCAATCAATATCCCAAACCCATTGGCAAGAGGCTAAGTCGCTTATTGAACTACAGTAATACGGTGTGCGGCAGTGCCAGTCCTCTAGAGCAACAGGCGGTTACGCAGAAGTCTTGATGAATGAGGCAACAATATGGTTAATGCTCTGTGCAGGAACGTGCTTTTATATTTAATGCATACTATAAACTATTTGTAATTTATATACACAATAATGTGGTAATTTATGTGTGTATATTCGTCTTTCCAAGTGGTTTTTGGAATCTAGACCATGGGATTATTCCTGGCATCTGTCAGAGCACGCATCATAGCACACTGTGCAATTGCATAGGCCCTAACACAAGCATTCTGTTCATCCACTGCAATAATTTTGAATTAAGAGCTAATCCTTTATATTTTGTATAATTTTGCTGAATGCTCTACTCACTGCCCTGGGATTCACAAAACTCTATGGAATCACCCGTTGCTGGCCACATATATTTGCGCACCACATCCGGATTCAGCTTGAAGTTTTCTATTAACCCAGCTTTTTCGAAGAAACAGCGAAAGTAGCACTAGAACATATTAAATGAGAAGTATCTCTTCAGTTTTGGAGTCAGTCACATACCATGCTGGTCATATCCTTCTCATCGAAAAGCTTGCCCGTGGTATTAAACTGCAGCACATTCGCTGGAATGATAAAATGTATAGAAGCATTGAAATATATAATCTGTCCTCCCAGGACTCACACATGGGCGTCACAAAACTAGCATTACAGACATGCATAATCTCGTCAAAATCAATATAGCCAGCTTCTCTAGGCGCTTGGGTTGTGGTCGATATGTCATCCACATCGCCATCGAAGCTATCGTAATTTATTATAAATATATCGCCATTGTCCCGGGCGCGATCACTGAAAGCACTAATAAGCCCGAGACTCAGGCCCAGCACGGTCGAAAGAGCAATAGAAATTTGAATTTTCGCAAACATTTTCGCAACGGTAAACCGACTTTAATGAAGGTTACGAGTTCGAAACCCATTTTATATGAAATATGAAACGTCAATTAGATAAACAAATTGTTCCAGTGCATTTTACACTACACGCAATAAACAGTTTTATTATTTAAATAATATTTACGGAAATGGCGTGATAACAAATTGGCTAATTTACGATAACTTTGATACAATAGTTATAAACATATATTTTTGGTTAAATAACCTATAAGAGAGCGTTCCTCTGAATAAATTTACAATTTACAATACAAATAAATAGGTTTTCCAATTTTGCTACTTGTGCATTAATGAATTAAAATAAATATTTCTTTTCGGACTATATTATGGATGAGGTTCAATTCAACTCTACGGTACGCTACTTTCAATTAAATTACAAAAATATAATTCGCAGATGCATTTGGTACGCTTTCATGTTTATATTTGATTCTACTACTTAGTCTACTTACCATATGGTAGCAGGAACTCCTTGGCACAGGCTGTCCTAACCTCAAGGAAACGTGCATGAAATGCGCGCTGCACTTCCGGACTATCCGGTTCCGGTTGCAGATCCTGAGCGCGCAGCTCTATTAAAAATAAGCCGAACAGCAACAGAATTCGGAGCATATATAGCCGTAACATATTTTCTATAGCCCAAGACTTAACTGTTTAACAACCTAGAGAATCGTTTAGCTTTTATAGAACGAATCAAAGTCAGTTAACAATAGATCGATGTGAATTAAACAAAACGTTTAACTAAATAGTTGCACTTTAATCGAACAATAAATACATGCGACAGCAATATTCTCATTCATATAATACAAAACTAATAATATTTAAATGAATGATAAACGAAATCTACAAAATTCAATGGGTGGTTTTTTTTTCTATTATTTTTGTTTGTTTTTTTTATGAAAATCGTTAACGAAAATTAGTTAAAATAGCGTAAAGTTAACTTAATGAGTGTCGGGAACTTTAGTATAGATCGCGCAACGAGGTCAGTGCTTAGAGTGAGGATTATTACGTATAGATATAGTTGAATTAGTATAGCCAAAGGGTTTCAATTTACAAGTACATAATTGTAGGATAATATGTAGAATAGTTTGAGTTGTTGCCTTATAAATAATTTCGCTTAATTTTGCAGTAATTCTTGATGGAATTTTCATTAAATTACTCTATGCAGCGTCCACGTTGCATCCACACGTCAGACCTTGGCGCCCCAGGCCCGTTTCAATAGATAGGCGCCCTTCTCCGCGATCATCACCGCCGGCGCATGTGTATTACCCGATGTAACCTGGGGCATAATGCTCGTGTCCATCACACGCAATCCTCGTATGCCATGTACCCTCAGCTCGTGATTGACAACGGCCAGGGGATCCTGTTGCGGACCCATTTTGCAGCTACCCGCCTGATGATTCTCCGGTCCGGTGTTCTGACGCACCGCACACTCCCAGTACGCATCGCTGCCAAAGGTGTGCGATTCGCAACCCTTGACGACGGTCTTGTCCAGGCGCATGCCGTACTGCTTGAGAGGCGAGCTCTGCGATAGCCTAATGGCAAACTTAATGCCATCCACCAGGGCTTTCACATCATAATCATCGGTCAGGTAGTTGGCAAAAATGCGTGGCGGATCCAGGGGATCGGCGGATCGTAGCTGAATATAACCGCGGGATCTCGGATTCAGCACAGCCGGAAAGATTTGTATGGAGCGTGAGTTGTTAGAGAGCAGTTCACCCACTTGACCTGTGCGTGCGCAGCTGGCCAAATAGCCGCCAAAGTAGAACTGCAGATCAGGTAAATCTGGTCGTTCGGCCCAGCGCGAGGACACCTTGGCGGTAACATCAGAAATGCCCGTGCCCGACATTAAGCCATCGCGGAAGAGTAAA